ATATATACTAAACTACACAAGAGTACTCAGGGAGCATGAGCTACTAAGAATGATAAGCTACAAAGAATGAAAGAAAGGGGAGGTCAAAGATAAAGGTATAAAGAATGAAGGGATGGACAAAGGGTAAGAGACTATAGAATGAACAAAGAATGAAGGGGTGGTCAAAGGAATGGAATGATGAAGTAAGGAAGGGTAGTAGTAAGAGTCAGTACACATATAGTCCATAGACAGTGCCCCTAAGGGACAGAAGTCCTGAGTTCCAGTATGGAAGGGTGCAGAACCCTTGGAACTGAAGGTATGAGAGTAGAGAACTGTAACAATTAAAGTAACAGATATAACAAGTTAAAGACAACAGAACATTCTACTAAGTTGAGAATGAGAGAAATATGTTAGTTATGAGAAACAAGAAGGATGAGTCATTGTGATTCTTAGTCATTGTTCTTCCAAAAAAACAAACAAACAAACAACCACCTGTTGTTGTCTTTGACAGTAACCAACACACTGCTCATTATTGTCTACAGTAATGTCTGTCTCCTCCTAATTGTCTACTACTTAATACCTACTATGTATGAGTCCAACAATGCTTTTCCAGCTTAGAACAGGGCCTGTGTCTGTATCTCCTCTCAGCTCTACAACTAGGGCTTAGTACTGTATTGTATACAGATACAGGCCATATAAAACAGACTATATACAGATACAGAATGTATAATACAGTACTGTATTTTTCAGCTCAAGATCTTATACAGATACAGACCATACATATACATTGTGTATATGTGTATTATAGATATGGCAGGTACATAAAAGGCAGAAGAACACTTATTTTGTGTAGCAAAACAACATAAGACACTGTACAGTATACAAAATCATACACATAGATGCCTAACACATATTATTCAGTAACTATTTACTCTTTAGCTATTACTTAACCAGTATAAGGCTGCTAATTGTTTCTGACTGTAAACTTGCTTAGCACAAGGTAATAGTATCATAACCACCAGAAAAAATTCGTTCAACCACAACTGCTGACCCTGTAACATCTGTAAGTATATTTATTGTATAGAGTAGTACAAACACACCTAGGATACAGTGAATATCACAGGCAAAGGAGGACAACTGAGGAAATTGAGTACAATGAGCTGACCACCACTTGACAGGCTTGCTAGCATTCTATAACCTTTCCCACTTCATATTAAAATATTCTAGGAGCTTGTCTGTCTGCTTGTAGCTATTGTCATCAACATACTGAGCCATAAAGGCAAATAGCTTTGCTTTCATCAGAGATAGCACATTGTCACCATCATCCAAAACCTTAGGCTCCAGTTGAGTGTGTGTCTCTTACATTGTAGAAGGTGGATACACTGCTACAAACTGTTCTTCAAGTCCTACTTAAGCTGATTCAATAAGATCAAGTAGTATAGTATTACTGTCTGCATCCTCTCTTAGCCTTGAGTAAGAAATACATGAATCAAGTACTACATAGGATAATATTAGTGAATTAACTGTCAATTTTGAAAGAAGCACTTACAAGCAGCCTAGAGATAGTACAGTAAAGTAGTGAACTTATACAAATATTCTGCAAGAACTCTATAGGCATTTTTCAGGCCCAACTTAAGTAATGTAAGAGTATCTGACAGTAGTGTTTGTAAGAATTGATGTAACTTATCCTGTAGTTCAATAAAGCATCCAAATGCTGAAGACAATGCTGAGTCCTTCATTGAGAACATGAAAGTAGTTGCCTGGCAGAAATCACAAAGCCACATTATGATACACTAGATAAGCTTCCAGTCATCAAAATCTAGCTTAAGTGGATGAAGGTCTTTGTGCAGGAGGACAAAGCTTTGAATTGCTTGTCTATACACATAAGTGTGATCTGGAAGGATGTGGGTGAGAGACTTCCAGTGCTTCCAGATTATGGTATTAGAGAGGCTATACTTACTTAGCATTTGATGCATAGAGGACTAGCAAGTCTTAATGTCAAGGATAAGCATTAGAGCTATGCCTGGCTGCTCTGGATTACTATTGTACTTTGCTGCCTTAGCAAGCTATGCTTTTTGTTGCTGAGCAGATGACCAGACTGTACACACAATCTTTCACAACTATAATCATGTAATTAGTAATGGATAGGCTAGGAATTGTGTTACAATACCCTTTCAACAGCATTTACTGAGTATAATGTATTGCTACTATCTGTGAGAGTATCATTAATGTTATCATTCTAGCTAGCTTCCAACTTATTGTAATCAGGATTCAGAGGAGCAGAAACAGACTCCTGATAGTTGCTTGTTCTACAATTAGTGCTCTTTAAAGCACCAATTGTATTGAGTAGCTTACATATAAGTAGTTAGTTTCAGAATATGATATAGTTTACAAGACATACCTTTAGTACTACTAAGTAAATAGTATGAGGCATACACCTAAGACATGCCTCCTCAGCAGAGAACAAGATCCCTTTAGCTGTCATGTGTGTCTTAATAGTCTCTATCATTGTGTCATTGTTGGAAGCATTATCAGACATGACAGTAACCAACTATAAAAATGTTAGGATTTATACACAAAGAGAATAGAAACATACCTTTTCTTAGATATTATAAGATTCTAGCAGCCCCCAGACAATATCCCCTAAGTTTTTACCTGTATGCCTCCCAATAATCTCTTCAAAACCTATCAATCATTCCTCTACATTTGTGTCAGTAAGGCAAAGTCTGATTATGTAAGCAAGATGCATACTTAACTGCCACTCATTAGTAATGTAATGAGCAATGACAGTAAGAAATGCAAAGCCATTACTAGATGTTCAAGCATCTAGTGACAATACAATCTTTGAAGTCAATCCCTAAGAGTAATCAGTATAGAAGACAAGATATCTAATATAAGCTTACTTTAAAGAGCTGCTTTGTCTCCTGAAAGGCATCTTGTCTCATATTAAGAATGTGCAGCCAAATTGTCTTTACAGTTGGGATTGGAAGGCTTGAATCCTGGTGGACAAGCCTAACAAATGCCTGGAAATACTCACTCTCAACAACAGTGAATGGTTCATCATTGTGGACAATCCATTCAGCTAAAGTGTGCTCAAACTTTGCCTGATCCCATGGACCCTATTTGATTACATAAGCAAGGTGTCATGAACCTTTGCATGATACATTATACATACCTGCTTTCCCTTTGCTTGGCATGCAAAAGCTGCCATGATAGTATTATAAGAATTCATACCATCTGTCAACTCCTTCAGCTGCTGAGCTGTTAGAATGTTTGACCCATTAGCAATTGCAATTTCTTCATTGGTAGGCAGACAAGTCAAACTGTACCTTTTGAGTGCTAAAAACAATGCATACATATCAGGAACCTTGGTGTGCAAGTATGTCTCAAGGCCTATTAAGATGTGACATCATCAGACACATAATGTTACATAGATTCAAGTACATACCAATTGTTGCACCCTTCATCTTCTTAGTGATTGTGAGGATATGATGGCTACCATGATAGCATTTGTAGTGCTTGTCTGTTGGCAATCCGGGCAATCCTTTTGAATTGGATCCCACCTGTATAAAAAAGAGAAGGATAGGCCTTGATACAGCCTAGAAGAATGATGAAAGGTAGGGAAACAAGAATAAAAGGAAAAGACTTACTTTATTATGCTGTGCTATCACCTGAGGGGTAATGTCAACAACATCATTGTCATTGTCATCACCACTAGCATTACCCATGCCTTCTTTCTGCCTGTTTTGGTGCTTCTACAGGTAGTAATGTAAGATTATATAACAAAAAAAAGAATAGCAAGCTCACCTTTGTCCTTTTCTTACTCTTTTTTGATCCAACCAGGCAAGGAAGTTGTTCAAGAAGGTCCTGAGTAATAGACAAAGGTTAGAGATATAATGAAATAAATGTAATGAACCATGTTTACTGCAGAATTTTCACTGCCTGACTCCTCTGTAGACTCTTCCTGAACCTCTGACAGGTCCATGTCCAATGACTCATGGTCTGAAGAATCAGCTAGAGGCTGGAAGCAGTTGCTGTTTGCTTGGGGGTCGGCATTCTGAAGAACCTTTACTGAATGTATACAGTGTCTCTTTTCAGAAAGAATGTTGCTTGTATCAACTTCTTCGTCCTTCTTGCACTTGCTTTGCTTGCAAGAGACAAGCTGGAAACCTGTAGCTTCAGCCATAGTGGTTGAGAGTGAGCCTGTAATACTCTAAGCACCATCAACAAAAAAATGGCGTACTGCTTAGTGTCAACCTGAGAGACTTCTTCTAAGGAAATGTGTCAGGTCCCACAGACTTGACTTTCTTTCTTGAATTGAAAAAGGGACATCTTAGACTATTGGAGCATAACCTATCTGGAAAAGAAGTAGATCTCATCTTGAAAGCTTGTCTTGTATACACTCACTAGTAGTAGAGAAACTTGTACAACATCACAGCAGGAAATGCCCTGGTCCATACTCAGCAAGCTGGGCCATACATTCCTAATTCTCCTAGGACAACTTTGTTACCTTAGTACAGAGTATCTTTGCATACCAAATTTGTACACACTCATCTACAGCTAATAGGCTAAGTCAATATGTCTAAGCTTATACAGAATAGACAGAAAATCTTATCTAGTCAATGCTGGACATCAAGTTTTGAGCCTGGATATTATACAGGTGGGGGGGGAGGGGGGGGACTGTAATGGTGGGGACAGCAAGTTGACGACCAAAGGTGGATCTGAGATTCTGAACTCAGATAACTGACTGATAACAGATAAGGGCCTGCTCAGTTGTGCTTGTCCCACAACCATCCTGGTGGTTGGAGGCCTGAAACTTGTTAAGTACTAGACCCTGGTCACTGTAGATCTTCTCTCTATATTAGTATTAATGTATCATAAATAAGGACTAGTCAAGCTTAGAAACCAGTGCAACCGAGCAGGCCCTAAGGGTGGTCTTGTTGATTTGCGGAGATGGCGGGCAGCCTCACACCAAACGTCACCTTATCCGTATCCCGTATACAGGCGTATACGGGCCGTATTCATTTCTCCTTATACGGATACGGACCGTAGGATACGGTCCCGTATTTTTGAGTTGAAAAGTTTATACGGATACGGTACGGCACCGTATACGAAAATGCCGTATCCGTATAATACGGTACGGGACCGAACCCTATCTACAACAGGCGAGGTGAGTAATTGGCTGTCAGTGCCAGTACCACAACTGTCTGACTGAGAACGACATACACAGCACTCGATACCAACTCGCCTTTGCCATTATTAAACTCACTCACACATCTCACGTATCTCACATCAACATCACCTCGTATTCGGGA